AGAATGTGATATTCCCCAATCCCCTGTATTTTCCCGGTTCTGACTGCCCATGATTTGAAAAAAAATATTCCCTTTATAATGTTTTGCTTGATGGAATGATTAGTAATTAAGTATGATGATTTTGAAGTGATTGGGTAATGAATATGCAATAGAAAATTTGAAGTGATTTGCAGATATGGTAATGAATTTTTATTTAAAAATTTATGCTCTCAGAGTCTCGTTCGTTTTATTGATGGCAAATTCAGTAAAGGGAATATGTTCAATTGTTCATAATATTTTGTTAATGGTGGAGACCGGAGAGAATAAAAAATAATTGAGATGTCAATTATTATTGAATCAGAGAAATATTACTCCATTAATTCTCTTGATTAGCACTGATGAACTGTAAACTGTTATTTGAATCGGAGAAATGGGGAGGAAAACAGAGAAAGATCTATTTGGTTAGTCAGTTAATTTTTTCTTGACATTTTCCATGAGAAATGGGGAGGAAAATAGAGAAAGAAAAAACAGAATTGCAGAGAGAATTAGGAGGACCCGCCCAAGGTTGTTAAAATGCACCTTATTATGATGTTGCTGGTTTATTTATAGGAAAAAATTACTTGATGTGTTTCTAGAGGTTGCCTTTTCTAATGATCTGAAATTCTGAAATTTAAAAATCATTTGAAGATATTTGATCAAGAACTATCTATCATAATATTATTTCAAGTTTATTAAATCTTCCTACAAATTGAATAAATAAATAAAACTTGATTCATATCCTGACACTGATACATGATGAGTGATTCAATACTTCAATATTTCATGCATGGATTATATGAATTATTATGTGTAACACATGTATTATGATATTCTTTTTAACAAAAAAAATTAATTAGAATCATATTATGTTTGGATTGATTAAAATGCTTGAACTACATATAAATTTTTATTTGAAGCATATATTTTAAGGTGTTTAAACTATGCATGAAAAAAAATTCCTTATGATTTTACAAATCGAATTTATTTTGTATTTTCCATGCTGTGTTAAAAATGCGTTTTTGACAACCTTGAACCCAACAACTGGTGTGGAACATGCATTTCAACGTGCCATGATTTGGCGGCGATAGATTTTTTTTCTCCTCTCTCTCTTTTCTCTCTCTTGTTGTAGGGAGTCACGCTTGACCTTCCAAACTTCCAAAAATCAATTGTCCTTTAGTTGTATTTATTTTAATTTTAACTTATTATTTTAATTGTTATTTGAGTTTATTTTTATGCTTTTTGAAGATTTTTTTTTCAATTTTATCTCAAAATATTTTATTTTATTTATTTATTTTATCCAATTTGATTTTATTTTGTATTGCTTTTTTTATTCATTTCTTGATTTATTTATTTAATTTTTTTTAATATTTATTCAAATTATCTTGAGCTGACTTAAGTGTTTTTTTATATTTTTTTTATTTTTCAAATTTATTATTTAATATTAGATTGTTAAACCCTGAATTTTATAAAAAAAATTTACATGATTATTCTATTCTCTTATCTCGGATTGGATGGTGTGTTAATTAAATTATCCCCAATTAATACAGGTTACTATCTCCTCGATATGCTTTTTTAGTTGGTAAAAGAGTGGTCTGGCCCGTAGGTAACCTAGCTAGCAAACACTACAGCTTAATCACTGTCTCCTACATGGTCTTCTACATGTTTTACCTCTGCCCATCGGGTTTTACATCAGTTTAATGACTATAGTGAGGTGTGGCCCTGAATAATGCGATGGTCAATTGGACTACTACAGGGAGTGATTTTCTTTGGTCGACTCGCAGATTGCATGTCATCCATTTTATGTCTTACTGATTTAATCTCGTTAATTTCCAAATTGCAGGAGACGGTCCCAACACAATTACAGTCGAGGAAGGCCGGTACACCCTTAATGTGTCTCCTAGTGGTAAACCAATTTTTGCTCATGGCATACTAGAATTAGGAATTACCCTCCTAGAATCGGGAATTTGTCGCCATTTTCTCCCTAAACGATGAAATTCTAACGCTAGTTGTGGGGAGGAATTATTCAAATTTAGTGCATATTGGTATGTTTATCTCAATTCAAGGATGCTAGTTTTCATGATCATTCTGCATGCATGTTAAATATCCTTTTTGAAGCAAGCCAAGAGCGTTTTGTTATGTGCTAGAAGCATGAGCGCTTGCACAGGCTCATGCAAGGATATGCGATGAGTGCCAGCAAGTTATGGAATTCCCGGGGCCATGATTGGAAATATTAGAGATTTGCACGAGGATTTTTCTCGTACCTCGCGAGGTGAGGCCTTGGGATTTTGAAAGTACAAATGTACAACGGCATAGTCTCCGTGGTAAGTAATTTTTGTTTATTTCTACCTTGGTATCTTCCAGCAAGTATTGTGGATAGGATGAGAAGCCAGGCGTGAATGCTTTTGAAATTTGTTTTTGGTCATTTGACTGACTTTGCTGCAATCATCAATGACAGAGTTGTTGTTATTATTTATTGTACGAATGGCATGACTGTCTGTGTGAACGAAATTATTTTAGGGCATTCTGAACGGTTGAAACCCAGAGAACCATGGACCAGCTTCGTGTGCCCATGCCCTCGCGTTCGGTGAAAGGTCAGCATGGTAAGTCAGGTCAAAGATGGAAAGTCAAAAGGATTTGGGGTAGATAACCAATGCCATCTTGCATGCATGAACTCTTTGACCGTACAACCGTCTTTGCTTGCGCTGCTGTGCACGTGCGCCTACATCCGTGGTTCGGTGGGGACGCGACCTGGTTTTGTTGTGGCGGTTTGTTGCCAGTTTCTTCTTCTTCTTCTTCGTCTTTTTCCCTGATTCTTTTCGTCTCTTAAATATAACTGAAAAGGGTAGAGAATGCTTTCCGAGAATCGGAAAGGTGATCGGATGCGCAGGGACACGAATTGCTTTTACTAGATAAATGAGAAGCATAATTTTCACACTAAAGAATCAATTTGAAATTGTCTTGTCTTAGACAAGACTGACACGTGTGGTTTCTTTTATTTATTTTTTTACCGATAAGAAAGGAAAATAGAACTAGAATGAATATGCTGCGGGAAGGTCTTTTTGTGTACGGAATGGTGCGTTAATTGCAAACTTTTTCTCGTATATTTTTTCATTCTACTTCAGTCAATCTTTAGAATCATAGTTTTAAACTGTAGCTTAATGAATACACCCGCGGGATCCAACCGACTGATTTTAGACTGGATCTAGATTGGGCTTAAAAATTAGAGGAAAAAAATCTAAATTGTGTTGGTAATTTTATTTACCCGGTAAAACTCAATTGAAAATTAAATTGTAATTTATTAATTATTTATTTATTTATTTTAACAAAAATAACATTGTTTTATTTTATATAAAAAAATAAAGGTTGATCAAAAATAATCTAGTGATCTCTTAAATACTCATAACTCGGATCTAGAATTGAATTTATTAATAGGTTAGGTTTGAAACCTTTTATTTTCTATCATTTTTAGAAAGTTATGATAGGTTAAATAGTATATTCTATAATTAGTTAATAAAAATACTGTGAAAACATGTCTATAATATGATATAAATTTCACATTGGTTAACCCTCGGTACAAAAACATTAGGATCTTATTTAAGCTTGATGAACGATAATTTTTAGAGTATTCAAGGTATAACTAGTTAAATTAAATCAAATTTCATATTATTAAACAATTAAAAATAATATTATATCATTAAAAATATATCCTCTTTTTTTTTACCACTCTCTCTCCCTCTCTTTTTATAAACTCTCTCTCACCATCTCTAACTTGATCTATTCCTCTTCACATTTTTCTATTTCAATACTCTTTTGGTTGATGTAAAAATGGTATGCGTATGTTGATTTTATGTACAAATCATAGAAAGAAGGAATAGCCATCAATAAATTAGAATTATAAGCAAAACTTTGACTAAGCAAAACTTTGAACATTCATTTTGATTTGGGTATAGACGGTATCTCTTTATTTTTCATGATATTTACCACATTTCTTATCTTTATTTGTGTCATTTCTAACTATTATCTCTCTCTCTTTTTTTTAATTCAAATAAGTTAGAAAAAAAAAAAAAAAGGGATTCAATCTCAACAAAAGATGTAAACTTCAAGTAAAATGTGAACAAATCAAAAATAAGTTAAATAGCAAAAATCTATTCACAAATCAAACATTCATTTTATCCGAATGGGGGATTGCTTTTTTTTTTTTTTTTGGGTCCCCTTCCCTCACAATTTCAAAATTATGGGAATTCCCACATTGTGACGAGTTTTACACTTTCCGACATTATCTAGATAGCCAATAATTGTTCGCCATGTGTACCCACTTGACACCCAATCCCGTTCCTCATTTCCATCCCAGCTTGAGCCACCAATGTAGCAGTACCCGCCGAGCCACCAACCTTCTTCCTCTTCAGGGACGCACTCTCCACCGACGATGACGGCTCCGGTGACGACCTCTTCGAAGTCACTCTAACAGGGTCAGGCTCGCCGGAATTCACCCTCAACGGAAAATTCAACAACGCCCTCGACCCACGCATTCTATAGGCAGCACGGTCGTAAGCCAACGCTGCATCCTCCGCCGTCGCGAATGTCCCCAACCAAACCCGGGCACCATTCTTCGCAGGGTCCCTAATCTCAGCCGCGAACTTCCCCCACGGCCGCTGCCTCACACCCCGGTAATGCTTCCCCTTGGACGGAACCACCGCCGGATCAGCTTTCGGCGCCTCCTTGCGCGGAGGGGATATCGTCAAGTTCTCAGAGGGTTCTAACTTCACAGCTGGAAGATTGGGCTCAATGAATTGATCGGTTTTGAGTGATGGGACCCACCCAACGGTGACGGCGGTGCGGAGGCCCCCGTAAAGGAACATATCCTCAGAATCATCGACTTTGAGTGGCAAGTCTCCCCAGTTTTCTGTTAAGCAAGGGTACAAGCTGCCGAAGCTTGTGCTCCTGCAATAAACAGGGACTGGAGTACAAGTAGCAGGGGTGGTTGCTGCTGCTGTTGACATTGCACTGTTAGTAATTGCTGGATTAAAGCGGCTGCTGGCAGTGGTAGGAGAAGTAGGTTCGCCTAGCAAATGCATGCGAACAGATTCAAGAAAGGCATAATCGGACTGATCAAGAAATTTCTCTCCGTACATTTTTACTCGTATTTGTGTAGGCAGAGGGAGAGATTTTGATCTGATGATGATGCGGTGATTTTTTTTTGAAGTCTTTTCTGGGGAGGATTTTTGGGGGCATATATAGGGAGAAAGGTGCATGTATTTAGAAAGGGTGAGATTTTTCGAAATTATTAATTTAATAAGTGGTGGGCTGGGTTTCGTTTTCATCACGTGTTTAAACTTCGCGAGATTTGTTGGGGTCTTTCACAGGAGAGGGATGATGTCATTCAGTCTTCGAGCATCAAATTGTTGCTTGTCTCTTTCCTCGTCCATTTCCCCGCCTTGTACTTGCCGAGTTTTTTACGTGTTTCTTTCGTCACTGCCTTTCTGTTCTTTGGCCCTTTTAGTTTATTTTAAGAACAATCTATCCTCTTTTACAAAATAGGAGACAGATTGAGTGTTTACTAACTAATGCAATTGAAATTGCTTTCTTAACCCTTTTTTTCAATCTAAAAATGATGTTTTTACTTAAATAAAACTGTTTTAGAGTAAACAAATATTGAAATTACACTTAAATAAAACTATTTTAAAGTGCTTACTTGTTAAAGTCCTTAGAAAATATTAAATTTAAAATTTTTATTATCATCAAGAATTAATTTTTTATTCTTAAGATTTTATTACTCCTCACTTAAATATTTAGAGACTTTTTTTAGTGAAACTCTCAATATTCTAATAACTCTTCTTATTTAAATTTACTCTTAAACAAAATATGGTAACAAAACAAAATTGATAATGATTCTAACAAAACGATTAGATGATTAAATAAATGAGTTTATTTGTTAAGTTTATAATTATAAAAACATATAAAAAAATATGGTAATCTTGTGGTTATTATAAGAAGCTACATACATACCAAGCAACTATATAAACTTGTAAAAGTTATAGAAAAAACAATCCCAGCCTTACATAAAGTCTTAAATAGACTAAAATTAAGTCTAAGAAAAACTTAAAGAAAAAATAAATAGAACATTATTCCAATGAGATATTCGATGCAAAAAAAAAATGTTTGAAAAATCTATCAAGACTTCACCCAAAGAACTATTAATTTCTTTTGTTAAATGATATAGAAACCAAAGCATAAAATCATTTAAAATAACTAGTGTGTGAAAATGATATAAATCAGAATATAACCCTGGTTTTTCTAATATAAGAAAATTTCTTTTTTAATATTGAAAGGGTTTTGATGATATCTTCAAATTAACTTTTAAATGATGGTAAAAGGTCATGACGATAGATCTTAACCATTTAAAATACTCATGCCCCATGCCCACTTGGAGAGGAAGGCTGGTCATCGTTCTTAAAGAAAGTAATTAATCATCTAGATTTTTAGAGGAAAATTGAAAGGCTTCATGACTATTAATATTTTAGAACAACACTAATTAATATAATCAAATTAAAGAAGTTTTTCTAAAACCTCCATCGTGTGGAACTTATGGAACCATGCAACTAGCTAGATTCATTCATCCAGGCTCTAGATCCTTGAGATGTTTAGTAAAGGTAGCATTACTGCTATGTTCTAACAAGTAAAATTCAAGAGCCTTCGGTCTTCTCCTCTCCTCTCTCGTTTTCTCTCAACATAACACCACCTCTTTTTAAACCCTAATTTGGATTGTCGATGCCAATCCTCATTTTATTGATTTTCTCTCAATTTCTTTTATATGGATGAGATTTTCCTCGTCTTTTTATGTAATTATTTCACACCATCAGAGAGCCCTATTTATATGCTTTAACTCATTGGTGAATCTTCTTTTTTCTTTTTTCTTTTTTGGTTTAATTCATTAGTTAGCTTGATGCCTGTTAATCATGCAAACAATCAAATTGATAAAGGCAATTAACAAAATTCTCATTCTTTGGTGTTCCAACATAACGTGCTTCGAATGCAGAACATTTTTTCCTTGTATAAATTTAGGAATCAATACAAGGTGAGATTTGGGAACGAGGATAGATGGGCATGCCTCCCTAATTAATATCCAAACCCCACAAAAATCAATTACTTGAAATCTTATATATTCATGTATTATATCCACGTTTCATCGCCTTTTATTACAAAAACGACCCTTAAAATTAACAAAAGGAGGGATTGATTTTTGAAAACCTTGAAAAAGACATGAGAGATTCTTTTTCGCAGCATAAATACCTTTGTGCAACAACAATATAGAAGTTTTTCATTGTTATATATATATATATATACAATTATCATATCTAATTGGGGATTTGACTTGATTTAAGACTTAGGTCATGGAATTATTGTGCCAACTTTGAACAATTTTATTTGTTTTTTAATGAAATAATATTATTTAAAACAAAAAAAATTCTAATAACTAACCTGGTTGAATCTCAACAAGATTTAATCAAGCCAATCAAATTAATTATATTTGATTAGATTAACTCAAGTTAGGTAAACTCCAAACCAATTCAAAATGAATTTGGATAATGAATTATTGAGTCAATCTATTGAGTCGGCTCAAGTTTAATAATAATAATTTTTTCAAGTTTTTATTTGTTTCATTTTGTTTTTGTTGCATTCCATGTTTTCAATTATTTAAGTTTTATCATCTCTTCTTTTCTGAGTTTACTTAACAGCAAGATGTATTTTTGTCATAGTAGTGAATCAATTAACCTGAAAAGGAAAAGAAAGAAAGAAAGAACAGGAGGTGTTAGTGAAAGAGTAGAAATCAACTGCTAGAAGAAAAGAAAGAAGATAAATAAAATTTTTTTTAAAAAAAAAGGTAGAAACAGAGGGGCAGGTCGACTAATCGGCGACGAGGGAGGCCAAAAAAGCATGAAAGACACAAACCATGGTGCTTGCAATAAAGATGCATCCGCCCTGGACACTTTGCTAGATTTTCAATGTATGAGGATAAGCCTCCCACAAAGTCAAAGCTCCATTAAGATAATCAATCCATGAACGTGACACACATTATAATCAGATTGCACTTCCTCCGTCTCTTCTTTATCTCACCTTCAAGGAAGGTGCTAATGTTTACATGGATGCCCCCTCTTTTTTTAACCATTTTAATATTAATTAAGGAGGATTAGCTTTGAAATCTAATTGGGATTGGCCCTCTAGCTATGGTACTTTTCGACTTTGTTAATGTTTTTTTTTTTTTTTAATGCGAGCTTGTGTGATTTTTATATTGCCACATGTGGCCGATCTTATATTATTCGAAAATTGGCGGCCTTAGTTTAATATTTTGCTGGGTCTACAAAGATATACATTGGCTAGTTGGGGCTCGTCGGCTAGGCAAGGATACTAATTCGTTCCCCTGCTCATAATGACACTTTATTAGTTACGATTAATAGCCGATGTCAACACATTAGGAGCTCTAATTCATGTTGTATGCTAATTCTACTTGTCCTTTTATTCATTCAAGCGACCGATTGAACAGTTTTTTCAAGGGCAGCTTGCACAGCTTAATTAGAACTTCCAGCATCAGAAATTTGAGTGTTAAGATTAATAAATAAATAAATAAAACTCTTTCTTAACCCGTGGATGAATATTATCACGAGTAGTTGCTTTTTGTATGGGCTGTGTTTAAAAAACTAAGATAAGACACGAATTCTCAATTCTAAAAATAGACCAAATGGATTTGCTACAAGTATTGCGTCTTCACCCTTGAGTTGCATATTAGCGTTATTGTAAAATTTAGAATGGCGTTACAGGTCAACCTGAAATATAGTCGAAACGAGACCTAAATTAGTATGTGTTAAAAAAAAAAAAAAAAAACATAGCAAACAAAGTCAAAAACCCACTTTTGACCCACGGACCCGGTAAATCTAGATGTGATCCGAAGAAAACCTGGCTTTTAACCTATTAACTTAAAAAAAATGTTAAAAATATTGTTTTGATCATTGTTATTTACTAGGAAGCGTAAAAAAATAAAATGTGAATTGAAAGCTTTACCTGTGTTTCAGATAAAATTAATTATCTATCATATATATTAATAAATTAAAAAAATTATTGTGTATCTTGTTTGGTCTAATAAGTCAAAAGACAAATTAGTTGTGCTATTGAAATGATGATTGAGCTCAAAAAGCTTTTCTATATAGCAGTTTTTTTATTTATGCTTGAATGTGAAATAATAAATGATTGAATGATTAAATTAGAAGAAAAATTTAAAAAATAAAATAGAAAGAAAATAATATATTGTATTGACACAGCTAACTAGCCTGTAAAGTTTACAATTTTAGTAATGTATCTTTTTTACTTTTTATTTTTTTATTTTCTCACTTGTTGGGCCTCAATTAGCCTTAAAATACCGAACAAGAAGAAAGATACATTGCATTACATGAGTGAATCTGTTAAACCTGTGAATCGGGTCATCTAAGTCAACCTATCAAACATATAAAATAAAAATAAAAAGTTATCTTGTGAAATCTATAAATTAAGGCAACCCGAATTACTCTATTAAACTTGCAAATCAAGTCATGAACTTCATAAAGTCTTGTATATTTTTTTCTGAAATTATTTTTTATTTAATTATATTTTAAAAAAATAAGTAATCATAAAATAAAGTAAAAAAAAATGAAGTATAATTCTCCATTTGTTTAATATTAAAAAAAATAAAAAAAATAAATTAAAAATCTCTAGAATTAAATTGAAAAGCTTTTAAAAATCAAGGGAATAATCTAAAAGAAAAGGGAATGGTGTTTAACTTGTACGCATGAGGAAGGCATGTATCTTTTGGACGACACATGAGATTTTCTTTAAACTCTAATTGATATTTTATCTAGTTTTATTAAAATCATCACCAAATCACCTTACTTAGGGTGTGTGTATTTTAAAAAGGTTCGTGTGGCTCTTACAAACTTTTTTTTTTCTCTCTCTCATTTTATTTTTCACTACCTCAGTTTTTGTAATCAGATAATGTTATTCTTCTCTCCATGCTCTAGTGTTTTTCTATTCTTCAATTTTAATCTTTATATAGCAGTTTTTTATTTAAGCTGAAATGTGAAATAATGAATGATTAAATGATTAAATTAGAAGATAAATTTATAAAAGAAAATAAAAAGAAAATAATATATTGTATTGATATGGCTAACTAGCCTATAAAGTTTACAATTTTAGTAATATATCTTT